GAAGAGAGTGGCTTTTAAAGATAATTCTTAAACTTTTAATTTTTAAATCTTTGATTTTAAGGAGTGTAGTGTTACTTTTAATGCCAAGAGATTAAAAAAAATGTAATCTCATTAACAACATTATAATCATTCTTGCTATTTATTGGTTAAATTTAATTCTTTCAATGTTAAAGTGTAACAATTTTCTCAGAAGCATAAGGTTTATTTTTATTTTTTATAAATAATATAATTTTTTTTCATTTAAAATTTAATCTACAAAGTGCGTGTATACCATTTTATATGCCGTGACCTTATTTGTAATATAGAAACTTTTTTTTGCAAAATACGCCTATGGAATGTGACGTTATATCCCCGTTTTTACTGTACTCCTTTTTAATTATAATTATAGATCATTAACTAATATAACAACTAATACAAATATTGTACAGAGAAAATTATGTTGGAATAACAATCTTGCTTTATCCTTTAAACTTATGATGCGTGATTCAAATAGGATACATTTTATTGAAAATATAGATGAATCTTATAATAATTTTTATGCAGCTATACATGAGTCCGCAGATAACTTAAACTTAGTAAAGACCATTCCTTCTAAAACTGTCAAAAAAATGGGACTAAGCAAACCTTGGTTTGATGATGCTTGTTATGCCGCAAAAAAACAATTAAATTTAGCTCTTTCACATTGTCTAAACAACAACTTTTCCCAAGATACTCTAAATAAATATACAAATATAAAAAAGAATATAAACAAATAATCAAATTTAAACGTCGTAAATTTGAGGCAGATATGATCTCTACATTATCAAGTTGTAGAAATCCAAAGGAGTTTTGGTCGACAATAAAACAATTTCGTTCATTTAGAAATATTCACCCTAATCTCACCATAGGAATGTGGGAACGTTTTTATAATAATGTTTACCCTCCTAGAATTTTAGATACCACCAAGTTTTTCGATGCTTTGCATCTCTACCTTGACGCTAAAATATCCACAGAGAAATGTTATACAGTAATAAATGCTTGCAAAAATAATAAATCTCCTGGTACTGATAGTATTTCTTATGAGTATTTTAAAAATCTTCCCAATAATTGGATTCTATATATTACAGTCCTATTTAACAACATTTTTGATTCTGGCATCATGCCCCGAAAGTGGACCGAAATGTCACTTAGTATGTTTCATAAAAAAGGTCCTTTCGATGATCCTTTAAATTATCGGTAATTGGCGTTAATAAACTGTGCTGCTTAAATCTTCTGAACAGGTTGATTCGCGATTCAAGCTAAGTGATACGCCCTCTGGAGGAAATTAGTAAAAGGTCCCTATAAGTAGGATGACGTTCAGTGTTGCCAGAAGCAGCAAAATTTCGTTATGTCGTCGGATTTTAGTTCTTGAAGAAATGGATAAGACCTTTTATTTAAGAATCAAAATTTGTGTCTAGTAATAGGTAATGTAATCATACTATTTATTTAAGGATTTTTTTATAAAATCGATTTATTATATTGATTTTTTTTTTAAATATCAGTTCATTTATTAATTTTAGTTTTAAAATCAGTCAGAGACAAAATCAGTTCATCATTTGGCAACATTGGCGTTCCTGTTCATTGTTTACATTTTAATTTGTATCAATTACAATTAGAGTTTTTTGTTACTTTTTAGCTTTAAATTTGTTTATTTCTTATAGTATGTGATAGTATTTAAATTAAAAATAAAATCTGCGAAAAAGCCTCCAGCAAATTGCAATCTGTATGGTGTTGTTGTCAAAATCAAAACTGGAGTATTCATTATTTTTCAAGTGCAAGTCATAAAATTCTGTTTCTTACGATAAATGGGTATCTACAAATTCACAATATTGAAATTTTGCAAAACGTTGTTTAGAATCAAACTCCAATATGAGTTGTGACGGTTTTATTACCATTTACATGTATACTATTGCTGCGTTTGAGAATCCACATCGGATGCATCCGAGATGTAAAAAATCTTTGATCACGTGATTCAGTATACGTAAATGTAATGGGACAGATGTGTCCGATGTGGATAAAAAAACGCTCGAGATGTAAAAAATGCATCCGATGTGGATTCTCAAATGCAGCAAAAGTACTACACAATTCACTTCATGATATAAGAATAAGGATAGTAAGATTTTTAAAGAAGTTCGTCAATAATAAACGTTTGGTACCTGATATGTCCTTTAAACCACATAATAAAACATGTCCTGGGTTTAGTAAATACATATTTCTAGATGTTCTTGTATTTCCAACAAATTAGTTCGTACTACACATGAAAAATTACATTTATAACGAAAGCACGAAAACTAAACTTAAATTAACACTAAATGAAACTCAAAAACACTATTATAATAAGAATATTATCTAAAAACAGTTAAAAAATCACAAATACAAAATCCCACAACACGTAAATAAACAAACATCCTACTTATACGTGACAAATGACAGGCGCGCGAAAATTAATTTGAATCGCGAATAACCTGGTCTGAAACTAACAATATTCTGCCGGAATCACAAGCCGGTTTCCGACCGGGGTATGGTTGCATCGATAATGTGTATACGTTAACCTCTGTAATTTAACAGCATATTAGATTAAAAAAGCGGAAAATATTTGCAATATTTGTTGATTTTAAACGTGCTTTTGATTCCGTCAATCACTTCTTGCTCTGGCTCAAGCTGTTTAATTTGGGTGTTAGTTCTAGAATTATAACTGTAATACGCAAAATGTATGAGAATGCAGAATTCCGTATTAAATGTTCTGATGGATTTTCTAAATCCTTTGAGCTCACATCTGGTGTTTTAGAAGGCGAATCACTTAGTCCTCTACTTTTTGCTCTATTTATTTCAGACATTGATAACTTCTTTGCAACCAGAGGCGCTAAAGGTGTTAATATTGACAACAAAAATGATGTTACTCTCTTGTTATACGCTGACGACCTTGTTATACTCGCAGATTCAGAGGTGGATGTTGGCAGAAAATTATTGAAAGAATACACCTTAATAAACCATTTAACAATTAACATTGACAAAACAAAAATTATGCAATTTTCTAAAGGTGGTTTTAGATCTTTGGATTCTCATTTCCACCTAGAGAATAAAACTATAGCATTAACCAATAATTATATTTACTTAGGTGTTACCCTAACATCCTCTTCTTTATTTTGTGAGATGGCAAATGTAACTACTAACAAATCTAAGCAAGCAAGTGGTGCAATCATTCCAATAATGGCAAAAGCCAAAGTAGATACTTGGTACCCAAGAATTAAATTATTTGAGTCCTTGGTCATAAGCACAATGACAAACTGCATTCCTGTTTGGGGTTTAAGATATAGTGACATACTTGAGCGTGTACAGACCAACTTTTTAAAAAGAATTTTATCCGTGCCAATCAATACACCGGATTATGTAATAAGACTTGAAACGGGCCGAGTCAAACTTCTTTATAATATTTTTAAAATGACCCTTAACTGGTTACTCAAAATTTTATCTATGCATGACAGCAGACTTCCAAAAATCTGTTTCTTCCAACAGAAGCGCATGTTAAACTGTCAAGAGAAATTTAACTGGGCCATGCAAGTAAAAAGTCAATTTGAATTTATTGATGCTTGCGCTATTTGGAACAATCTTTCATATATAACTTTAAAACGAAATAAAAAAACATTATTGTCCCAATTTTATGACAAACTACATAACGAAGATTTAGCACAGGTGCAAAGATCATCTTTTCTTAATTTTTACAATGTATTTACAATCAACCACGAGCCTAAAAATTATCTTGTCCTAAAACTTCCTATTCAGATTACTCGCACTATAGCCCAGTTGAGACTGAGTAATAAATATAATTTAAAGTTCACTCTTAATGGATTGTCATACACAATAAATACTAGAGAAATTTGTACAGCTTGCAATAAAAATGAAGATGAGTCAATTCACCACATTTTGTTTGATTGTCCCATTTATAATGTCATGACAACTAAAAGTTGTAATTATCTAGCTGATTTAAACTCACTTATTTACTTTCTTGATAATATGACGATCAGTTCTGCTAAAATTATTTCAACTTTTATATGGAACGTACTAAAACTAAGATCATTCATAATAAATGAATAATTTAAGCAAAGATATGATAACTAACATGATTTTTTTTGTACTTTTATTTTATAGGATAGCTATAGGCATAAACCAAATAATGTATTTTTGTTTTGCTTTTCTTCTTCTTACTTTTTTTTTTTTTTGGTTTTGTATTATTAATTAGGTGTGTGATTAATTTGTATTGTATGAACAGGTATATTTTTGTATGTCAAACCCTTGCTGTAAAATAATCTGTTTTTAAAAGCAATAAATATATTATTATTATTATTATTATTATTATTATTATTATTATTATTATTATTATTATTATTATTATTATTATTAATTATTATTATTATTATTATTATTATTATTATTATTATTATTATTATTATTATTATTATTATTATTATTATTATTATTATTATTATTGTTATTATTATTATTATTATTATTATTATTATTATTATTATTATTATTATTATTATTATTATTATTATTATTATTATTATTATTATTATTATTATTATTATTATTATTATTATTATTATTATTATTATTATTATTATTATTATTATTATTATTATTATTATTATTATTATTATTATTATTATTAATATTATTATTATTATTATTATTATTATTAATATTATTATTATTATTATTATTATTATTATTATTATTATTATTATTATTATTATTATTATTATTAATTATTTTGTACTATTTCTAATAATTTTGTGCGTTCCACTTTGTACCCCAAATTTTGATTATTCCTTTACTAATGTTTGTAACAAACATTTTGGGCTTTCAGGTTTTACGATTCTGCTACTTATAATTTAAGCAATAAAATTGTGTGTAACAGATTTTGAATATTATTTTGTCTTTTATGAGGATTAATTATAAAAAATCTAAAACATATCTACCCGTTTCAAGATCGTCAAACTTCAAATTCTCGGCCCCATTTAAAAATCCAAAATTCGTTCCCCCATGAAACATATACATATTGACAGACGAGGGATATTTTAAGATCTCTTCGTAAACATTTTTGAAGTCATCAAGTGTAGCATTGTTGTGTCTGTTTCCCCAAAAATCGAACCATCCGGACCAAAATTCCATGGTCATTAATGGTTTGTTGGGTTGAAGTGCTTTTAGTTGATCTAAATTTTTTGTAGCGTCTTTGTTAAAGTTTCCCGTCATAAAGAATAGGCTTCTTATTGTTCCACCAGCCCCTCTGATGGGGTTGTCCGAAGTAGCTAGTAGTTCTTTTATTCCTAAAAACGGTAGGTATAGCATGTTACTACAAACCAGTGATAATGCAGTAAAATTGACATTTAAAGCATAAGAAGGAATATACCATTATCAAGCATGAGTTGTCTCAACTGTTTCAAATACTCTAGGTCTTTCTTTCCAGATACAGCATACTCGTTCTCCACTTGGAACATCATGATAGGACCACCGTTGGTAAATTGAAGAGCGGCCAATATTGGTAGTAAAATGTTAAAATATCTAGTAACATAATTCATGTACTTGGAATTGGTTGTTCTAACTTCGAGATCATCTTCTCTCAATAACCAGCTAGGAAAACCTCCAAATTCAAATTCGGCACAAATGAAAGGACCTGATCGCACAATGGCGAAAAGATCTTCTTCTTGAGCGGTTTTGAGGAATTCCTCAAGGTGAAGAAAGTCGGACATGTCGTTGTTTCCATCTCCGAAGTCATATTCACCTGAAAATTAATATACTTAAATATAATACTAAAGTTTACAGAGATATACCTTTCAATATCCGTTTATGGTTAGAACATAACCAAAAAACTTATACAAGTGGGCATCTGTCATTTTGCAAATGTCAATTGTCAAGTCAATGTATCTAAAAATCATGGTAAATGAAATAACAAAGATAATTCTTCAAATTCTATATCCTTGTGGTAAAATCAATAACTGGAACGTTTGTGATAAGTTCCATGGTAAGATCTGTTCAAAAGCTTAAATTAGTGTCCTAAGAAAACCAACAAAACTGGAGTAGTAAAAGTTTCGTGTCAGTTAATGCAGCGTCTTGTGAAAGATGGATATTTCATTTGGTGTTATTGTCTTTACAAACTTAGTTGTTTAAACAAAATGGCCAACACTGGTGGTTTAAAAATAAACATATTTTTACCTGATCTGGGTTCATGTAGGTTCCATGGTACATAAGTTTCCACAGTATTAAATCCCGCTGCTCGCAGTTTCCTCAATCGATCTCTCCAATAAGCTCTGGGAACCCTAAAGTAATGTACAGCGCCACTATATAGCGATATATTTTTATCGTTGAGAGTGAAGTAGGGTTGATCTACAGATAGTCCAGATTTAACCCCTCCAGATGTATAGTATTCATAGTTTGTTGGAAGAGCAGTTGGCGAGACAGACATACCTGCAGAAAGCGCCATTTTTAATTGAAAATGATCTTAAAGTAGTTATATAGATACTCTTTTCGAGGCACCTACTAAGATTAAATAATTTTATCAATAATACAATTATTTACTTCACAGTATTAATCTATATATCTTTAAGTTTAATTTGCATCTTTTAATCTTTAAAAATGATTAATTTATTGGCCATAAATCATTCAATATACTTACTTATAATTCAAAATATTCACTTAGTTGTTTAATTTAAAAAAACTTAAAGATTGGTGATAACTGATAAATGGGAAATCATATGAAAAGTAAAGTTATAGCTAGTTTTTTGGATTTACAATATCCTTTGTCTATTCTTTCGATTTTATAAATTCCAATATTACTGTTGTTATTATTATTATTATAATACAATAATTATAATAGTAGCCGCTCTTCAAGCGCTTCTGACTCTTTGGTAATGATAAATATTGCAAAAAAAACATAGGGCATAAAAGTCTTGTATTTTTGGAATCTAGATTTTTAAATTTCTTATTAACCCTCAACTGGTATGGTGATTTCCGGGTCTCACAACTGATATCAGCCCTAATTTAAGAGGGGGAGCGGGACCATTTTTTTGACTAACTGCATTTTATTTATTGACCTAAAGAAAACAAACCTAAAATAAAGCAAACTCAGGTTTATTCAAATTTGTAAATGCATAAATACAAAAATAAAAGTATAGAAAAAAAAACATTGTTTACCATTTTTAGCAAAAGTATTTTACTTTGATCAAAAACACGACTAAAATATGTCGGATTGGAAAAAACTATGATACATGCTAACTCCTAAGATAAAAAAATCTGATGTGTCCAACACATGACTTTCCTATCTAGTTATTACAGGCTTTTCCCGGTTATTTTGTACAACCTATTGCAGCACCCCCATAAATGTTTAGAGAATAAAATAAATATATACATTTTCCATATACATCTACCTCGAAACATTTTTCTAGATATTCATTGAAAATGAAAATACTGAAAAATTTAAATTTAGCACTTTTCCTACAATTTTTCCATTACGGTCCATTTTAGAAAAATCATGTATAAACAAAAATTATAGAGATCGACTTTTTTTTCAACAATTTTCATAAAAATCAGAATGTTGCACATTTTGTCAAATTTCTCGAATACGGGCCATTTCAGGAAATTTTGACATAAAGCAAAAATTATAGATAATAATATTAGAAATAACTTTTATTTAAACAATTTTTTTCTCCAAACATAAATAACAGATTCCATAAAATATAAAAACGGCCCCCCATAAAGTACCCCCCAGATGTTCCGACTTTGACCAAAATCTAATCATTTCACGTCAGGCCGAAATAAAACTTATGTTTAAAATTTAATGTTTTTTTCTTTATCCGTTTTTGAGTTTTCTTCAAATTTCGAAATTTACACATTTTCTCAAATATCTCGAATATGGTCCATTTTAGATAAATTATGTATAGAATAATAATTATAAAGAATTATATTACAAACAACTTTTGTTTAAACAATTTTTATAAAAAAATATTTTTTTATATTTTGTCAAATTTCTCACGTAAATAACAGATATATTCCATAAAATATAAAAATGACCACCTATAAAGTACCCCCCAGATGTTCCGACACTGCCCAAAATCTAATCAGCACATTGGACGCTGGAACAAAGCTTAAGTTTGAAATTTGGTGTTTTTCTGTGTATCGGTTCATGAGTTGTGCGACACACACACACACACGCACGCACGCACGCACGCACGCACGCACGCACGCACGCACGCACGCACGCACGCACGCACGCACGCACGCACGCACGCACGCACGCACGCACGCACGCACGCACGCACGCACGCACGCACGCACGCACGCACGCACGCACGCACGCACGCACGCACGCACGCACGCACGCACGCACGCACGCACGCACGCACGCACGCACGCACGCACGCACGCACGCACGCACGCACGCACGCACGCACGCACGCACGCACGCACGCACGCACGCACGCACGCACGCACGCACGCACGCACGCACGCACGCACGCACGCACGCACGCACGCACGCACGCACGCACGCACGCACGCACGCACGCACGCACGCACGCACGCACGCACGCACGCACGCACGCACGCACGCACGCACGCACGCACGCACGCACGCACGCACGCACGCACGCACGCACGCACGCACGCACGCACGCACGCACGCACGCACGCACGCACGCACGCACGCACGCACGCACGCACGCACGCACGCACGCACGCACGCACGCACGCACGCACGCACGCACGCACGCACGCACGCACGCACGCACGCACGCACGCACGCACGCACGCACGCACGCACGCACGCACGCACGCACGCACGCACGCACGCACGCACGCACGCACGCACGCACGCACGCACGCACGCACGCACGCACCCACACACACACACACACACACACACACGCACACACACACGCACGCACACACACACACACACACACACACACACACACACACACACACACACACACACACACACACACACACACACACACAAACGAAAAAATCATGATTCCTATACTTTCCTTATATCCTTATATTAAAGTAAAAACATTTAAAAATTCCTAATAAAAAATCTAACAAGTGCTTCTCAGGACTAATAAGAAGCTTATAAAATTAATTATTCAAATTCTTATATATACTACAATAATTTTGTTGATCTAAAGGCTGCTTACAAAATGTTTTTTTGCACGTTGTACAATATGTAAAATGTTTTCTGTCAATTGTAGATGGACACTCTTTACATCGTCTTCTTTTTGTTCGACTGCAATATCTGGAATTTTTAGAAATTCTCTAATTTTTTGCCGCAACTCATATCGTCACCTCATATGTATCAAATTTTTTATAAAAGGTTTTCTGGACATTTTCAAATTTCTAACTGCAAAGTTTAACAAAATGTAAGTGTTTACAACGGCTATATTTAATATTGCATCAAAAATCGCAATTGGCCATCATCTGGTCCTGCGATTACATAAAAACACTGCACATTTTTGATTAAGGGAATCAATCCCACTTTTAGTTGAATTATAAAATTCTTTAATGTCTGGTCATTATTTGTTAACTTGTCGTGATTTAAGGTCGAAACTTAGATTAAAGATCTAAGGGTCGAAATTGGTAACACGCTTTTATTTTTTGCAGGAACATAAGATACTAGGGTATTATCTCGCATAAATCCAAACATTGACGAATTTACTTCACGCTGTCGATTAGCCTAAAAATTCTTTAGGAATTTGCCGTTTATTTCTTCTAATACACGTCAATTTATGTTTTTTTAATTCTTGTAGGAGTTCCAGGAATGTGGACCAGTTGTCGCCTGTCACATTTCTGTTACTTCTTGCTATAGGACTAATTAGCTCCAAAACAGTCAGCGTAAGTATAACAAGATGTCTAGGATTCACAACATTTGGATTTTTGCCGGTCAATACAAACGCGTTTAGCAGGTAATGTGTTTTTGAATCACAGTGGTATAAAATTTTTAGACCATATTTATGTGCTATTGACAACTTTGGGAAATGATGGAATAGCATCACACCAAGCAATTTCTGCTACTTTTGCATTGTATATTGTTTTCTTTCCCACCGTCCTCCTGTTGATTACTGGTTGATTCCTCCTATAAGTGACATTTTTTGTACTTGGACAATCACGACTCTTGCCTAGCGACAATTCTAGTACACATTTCAGGAAGCATGTTCCAGGATATAATTTAAAAGTACCGTCTGTGCATCCATGACGAGTGTAGAAATTGTGCAAGATTGAACCTTCCACTTTTACACACGTAAATAACAAGGAAAGGTTGCCCTAAAACACAGTAAATAAATTGTAGGCTTGGCTTTGTTCAGCCATTGTGTTCATGTTGAGCTGTTTTTTGAGTTGTGGCTTTTTTATTTCTAAATTATACCTGTATAAATTATTTTCCGATGCACTATTTTATAATTGTTGCAAAAAATGTTTTTAAACCCTCCCCGTATTTTGTTTACAAAATTTGCAAATTGAAATTGTGCATAGGGTCTATCATTGAGAATAAAGAGGAGACGCTATGACGATACTATAAAAGTGTCCGCACTTTTGCTATACACTTTTACATCTGATTGTTAGTGGGTGGATACATAACATGTTCTCAAAGCAAGCAGTAAACATAAGTGTACAAAATATGAATATATGAAGCTTGAATACGAGGATATGTCCACAGAGAGAGGCGCTATCACCTCTACTGTAGAACATGATCCTCGACACACTCAACAGCTGCCTTGACAATGACAGTCACTACGCAATAGAATATGCAGATGATCTGGTCATTCTGCAAACAGCGAATTATGAGAACATACTCTGCGAAAGAATGCAAGTAGCTCTCAAAATTATAGAACAGTGGTGCAAGGACCATTCACTGTCTATCAAGCGCAAAAAAACAGAAATGGTCCTTTTCACTAGGAAAAGGATGAAAAATTAAACACAAAACTAAACTTTGCAACATAAGTGATTTACCCCTTTGATAGCAAATTAACATGTAATTCACACCTAAAAACAGAGTAAAAAAGCATACACTGCTTACAACACTATACCGTCGAACCATGGGGCATACTTGGGGTCACTCTGGACATATAATGGAATATTTCTACATAGGGTACAGATCAATTATTTCAGGTGAGGAGTCACAACACAAAGACAACACAAAATGGGACAGCACTGTCTATATTTACATGTCTTTATTAAATATAACAAATAGTTTATACATCCAGAACGGGTCACAAATACATTTTATGTTATTAAAAATAACAATAGCCACCGAGTCATAATAATTATTGATTTTGCACTCGTAAACACGATTGGTTATTAAAACTAAAGCCAATATTTAATGCGTGTGGGTTAGCATGTTAAAGACGCTATTCAAAAAAGAGAATGGCCCACAAACTGAACCTTTCACCCATCGTACTTAAAACGCGGGAGAATAAGACTCAAGATCTATTTATCCAGATGGTACTGAAAATATATAATTTTCAATAAATGGTTGCGAAAAGTTAACGGTTATGATATTTCGAAATCGACTACATGCACCCTCTTCTTTGGTAAGCAGATGTCGCCATGAGTACCTACTGTTTTCAAAATAAACATAAGTGGGGAATAAATAGGAAAATAAATTATTTTACTTTGTTCAGAGAATCTTAACAAGCATGTCTCAACATAACAGAAGCCACACCGACCAGAGCAATGGAAGTCATTATTAGTCTCATTCCCCTTGATATATACATCAAGGAGGTTGCTTGCTCTGATGACAATGACACGCCTCCGCATAGTTGGAATAGAACCTGCTGTACACTCTGGTGTGGCGAGACGTTGCTTTTGACAGGAGGTGCTTGATACGTTCCCACAGCTTCAAGCGAACTGGACTACATCTCTCCGAGATATATCTTGCATAAGTAACAGAACCAAACAAACAGAAGAGCTGGAAGTGGTAGGTATGATTCATATCTACACCGACGTGACGGTTCTAAAACAAAACAAGGCTCAGGATGTGTAATATACTTCAGATCCTTAAACCTATACATAAAATGGGCTGTGAGAAATAATGCTAGTGTAGTTCAAACAAAGCTCACAGGGATTCTCATAGCAGCAAAATAAATCACCACAAACAATATCACTGGAAGGAACATGCTCATCTATACAGATAGCAGAAAAGCACTACTCGCCCTGGGCAGACCACGCATTTACTCAGGGTTAATTTTAGAATGTCACGAAGCTTTAGCTGAATTATCCATCAACAATGTGGTCAAAGATGGTAAAACTGTCTTGCTGAGTCACTAGCCAAGAAGGCAGCCAATCAAATACTTTTTGGACCTGGTCCTTTTATTGGACTAACAACATCGGTACTGACAAACAGTGCCAGCTCGTGACCAAAATATTGGAGGTATACAATAACAGAATATAGATCTCAGTACAGATTTAGGTAAAAATTTCTCAATATTTCAAAAAAAAGTTATATTATAAACACTGAAATTTGTTTACCTTAATTTGTACTGAGATCTATAATCTGTCATTGTTAACCCCAATTTTTTGTCCTCGAGCCGCTACTGCTGACAAACCTAATTATAGAACATTTCCTTGTTAAATTCAAGAAACAAGAAGTTGCAAACTTGCCAAGGAGCTTCCAAGTTATCCTGACACCACTACAGCAAACAAATACTTGGCTATAACTAGACAGAATCTGCGGCTGATAACAGGCATTCGGACTGGACATTGCCAAGTACGAAATCATCTTCATATCATAGGGCTGTAAAAATCCGTGCTATGTAAGGGGTGAGAACAAGCTCTATTTTGAGCACGACGGCGCAGCCGGAGTGCTCGAAAAATCGCGCGTGTTTTAAAGACCGTTATATCCACTTATACTTTAATATACTATTAAATGGAAGCTTAATGAGACCTGTAAAACACTAATTTCCGGCCGTGTGACGTACAATATTTTTTTTAAGACCGACTTTTTAATGTAAACTAATTTATTTTATTTTATAGTTATAATTATGTAATAATCAACAAATACTACATACAACTAAACAGAAACTAGATAATGCCTAAATTGGCCAAATACATTATTTTTGAATATTTATGTTAAATGTACAATTGTGAACGTTAAATATCTGAAGGGAAGATGTGTCTGAAATACTGGGAATTGTTATGTTTTTTGTAGCGGTACTAACAAAATTAGTTTGCTGCATATTGTTTGTGGAACATCCCGCATGGATTTTGTTTGTGGAACATCCCGCATGGATTTTGTTTGTTATATCAAGTTTGTTTTTCATAGAATTTTCAAGGTAACCTTCTGCTACGGTTGAGGATTTCCATCCTCCGTGCCGTTTAAAATTTATAAGATCGCCCCCTCCATCTACTAGCAGAGTCGCTGAGCTTCGACGAAAGCAGTGACCTGTGAATTCGCTTGGATTTTCCAATTTAAGATAGAAGGCGATTTTGCTAGGGGCTTTTCCCACAGAATGCAAACCTACTGCTTGGGCTGAACACTTCCCATTTAAAAAAAAAAAATAAATAGTCGTTTATGGTTGGTATGCGGTGGCCTCAATTGCAAATAATTCCTATAAAGTTGCAAATCTCTTTGGGAATTTACAATAAACGTTCTGGTTGTATTCGTTTTGGTTATGGGGATTTTAACTATCAACATTGTTTCCTTATCCTCGATATCATTAAGTGTCATATTAACGAGTTCGCGGCGACATGCACCTGCGGAACCCATAATTAAAAGCACCTAAAATAGAATTAAAATTTATTGTAATCAGTTTTTACTTCGTTTCTTTGATTTTAACTTACCTTAAGCATAAGATATTCGATATCGGAAGCATTGTTTAGAAATGTTTCGATTTGTTCTCTTGACATAATCTTAGATTTCTTTGCAATATGACCAACCGATTTCTTTTTAATAAACGCTATTAATTTGAAAAAATTGTTGATATTTACATTATCTTTTACAGTCATTGTAGATTTCAGCATGGAATATAGGCTCCATAATGATGAAGGAGCCAGTTTTTGTGATTTTTCGGCAAAATATGCCAAAAAGCACTTCTTCGTTTACATTTTTTACTTTTTTTCTCGGCACCAATTTTTAAATGAATCGTATGTCTTTTCATAGCGGGTTTTTGATTTTATTGGTAATAAATCGTAAATAGATTTCTTCGCTGTTTCTAAAATATCTTGTGGAATTTCATTTTCAGCATCTGAATCCATTATTTGTAAATTTGAAAACTCACAAATCAAGTTTGACATAAACAATAAATTAAAAATCAACTGTCACTTGACAATAAATTGCAAGGCAAGGATTATCAAACAGCGATTGGAAAAATTGAAAAAGAGGGACCGGTAAAGACTATTTTTACCGGTCCCTAGAGTCTACTTTCTGGTCTAGATCGCCAAAACGTTACTTTCTGGACGAAAAATTGTCCAGAAAGTGTATATTTTCTGGTCGGTCTTAAAAAAAATATTTTAACAGTCCTCAGTAAGTTTATAATCCCTCCATTTCTTTTAACACACATTGCTTCCAAAATCTCAATTTATTGGCAACTATTGAATATGTACTATAGGATCCTCCCATGGGCAACTACCGATGACCACTGCCGAAGCTCTCATGGACCACCAGTTGGAAACCACTAACCAAGAAGGAACCTCTTTGAAACTAAATATTTATAAAAATGTATGAGAAGGTAACTTTTTTAAAATTCTTTATGTTATGAAAATGATATACAAATGTCAACATTTCATACCAATATAGCGAAAGTGGTGTTACTTACCCTACATACTGTCATCTTCATCTCTAAATACCAATATGGAAAATACAAAATCATACCTTGAAATATGATTAGAGGACTACGAAGACGTGTTTCAATGTAACTGTTTTTTTATTTGTTTAAATATTAGATTATCAACAAATTTGATTGTTCTAGCAGGTATAAAATGTTCAAAAACTAAAATTTTATTTTCGCCATTATGCAAAAACTCTGCCGGCAAATAAATACTGTGCTGAGGCCCTAAACTCAAATACCGCCCTAAAACAAAATTATTAACAATAATAATTCCTTTATTCCAGTCTCTCATATCTATATAAGTGTCTTTTGGTTCGGTAATATTGATAATAGCCTTAAATAATTTTGGACCTGTGGTAAAACTCGGGATTCTCCAATGATTTAAACTTTTTGTAAACGATTTCTTGAATTCTAGAGGAAATATTTTATCAAATTGAACTACTTTATTATTCAGTAATACGTTTCCTTGCCATATTCCCTTGTGCTGATTAAATTGTTGCAAAAATCCATAATTTACTCTTCCCCAGTTTTCAACAAGAAGCTCCAAAGTTGCGTTTTTATATTCTTTAGAATCGAGAAATAATTTAGAATCTTTTTGTTTCCAGAAACCAAAACCGTTTAGATCATGTTTAGATTCAAGGATTTTGTTCTTTAATATACCGTTTATTAACACCAAAACTGTGTCACATACTCTACCATTAATTTGTAAAATAGAATTTTTAGGTATATTAATAATCGAATTTTTGTAAATGATGTATCCATAGCTTTGTCCCGAATTGTTGTTAATTGGTAACAATTCCATAGGTAATAATTTATTTGTGTTTATGCTTGGTAGTTGGTTTGTAATATCTTGTAAGCTAATTTCTCCAGTAATTCTGACAGATTGGTATGCATATCGCTGAGTTAAATTTGGCATTGGCGGTTGAACAATGTTTAATTTATTGTATTTGGCCATAATTTCTTTGGCTCTGAAATATTTTTCGGTGTAATCTCCTGCTTCTGACAAGGGAGCGTTGTAATCGTATGTTGTTACATCCGGTTGAAATCCTGGAATTAAAAAAATGACTATATTAAAAATAAGAAAAAGAAAAAAGAGAACAATTTTTATTGTTATTAAGTACCATAAAATGGGGTAACATCTTGGTAACATTGATCCTTTGCGGACAACTTTTACCCGTATGGCCACAAAACATTTGTTCAAAAATGGATATCGCACAAACAATCATAATTGCGTTAATGATCTTCCACAAAATCGGCTTGGATCAAGATCCTATGTTAATTATACTCCTGAGCAGTTAGAAGAGTGTTTGCAAGAAATTAAGTCTGGTCGCATGAGTCAACGAATTGCAGAAGCGACTTTTCGTATTCCTAGATCCACAAGTAAGAATAAATTAAAAGGCGAACATTCTAAGGAAGTCGGTCGTTCCCGAGTTTTTTTTCAGATGCCGACGAGAAAGCTTTTGAGCAACACATTAAATTAGCAGACTGTGGATTTTCTGTAATTCCAATTGACTTTCGTATGGCTGTTAAAGCCTATTTAGACAAAGAAGGTGTACGAGTTCCTGTATTTAAGAATAATCTTCCTGGTTAAGAGTGGACCAGGTCTTTTTTAAAGCGTTATCCAAATCTGTCGGTACGAATGAGTTCCAAAATCAAGAGGGTCTGAGCACGAGTTGGTGCAAACGAAATCAATGATTATATGCAAAATTTAAGTGTTGCTATAAAGGAAATTCCGCCATCCCAAATCTGGAATTACGACAAGACAAATCTCAGTGACGACCCGGGAAACAAAAAAGTGATATGCAAGAGAGGAGCGAAATATGTAGAAAAATTTGCAATTTCACCAAGAGCGCAACTTCTGTTTTGTGGCAACGCAGAAGGTAAATGTCTTGCTCCTTATGTTGTATATAAGGCAGAAAATCTTTGGACCACCTGGACTGAAAACGGCCCTGAGAGAACTCGCTACAACCGTTCTAAAAGTGGGTGATTTGATGGAGCTTCGTTTAAAGATTGGTTCAAGTTTCATTTCCTGCCAGACGTCAAACAATAAGATGGTCCTGTTATTCTGATAGGTGACAACCTATCCTCGCACATAAGCGCAACGGTTCTTCAGCTCTGTGAACAGTACGAAATCAGGTTTGTGTGTTTACCGCCAAATACTACTCGCATCACTCAACCCTTAGACGTGGCCTTTTTCACACCAATTAAAAGAATTTGGCGAAGAATTTTGACCAGATGGAAGGAGTCGAAACCAGGTTTTAAATTCTCGACTATACCTAAAGATTTATTTCCAACATTACTTAAAGAATTGATGGAAAACTTAGAGGAAAACAAGGCTCAAAACCTAACATCTGGATTCCGAAAATGTGGAATATATCCTCTGAATAATCAAGTGTTACTTGACCGCCTATCAGAGAATCTGACAGAAGTAGATAAAGACTTGATAGATACAGCCTTGCCTTTTTAGAACAACTCAATGCAAAACGTTCTGAATATGTAGGAACTGACAAACCGAAACAAAGGAGAAAACAATTACAGGTTCCCGCTGGAAGAAGCATAACTGCCAATGACCTGGTGACAATTGCAGATATTTCTGGCCCTTCAAAGGTTACTGCTGCTAAGCCCGCAAGGAAACAACGGAGAGTTTCTCTTTCAAGTTCCTCTGATAACTCATCTGATGAACTTCAGTTAGAATCAGATGAATTGAGTGACACATTTTCAGACCTAGAAGAAGTGTCCTAACCTGTTGTCCAAAACTTCGATCAAGAATCAATGACAAATCCAGGAATTAATCCTACAAGTATGACGATTGACGATTTCCTAGTAGTGGTATTTAATAACAACAAATACCCTAGAAAGATTATCGCCGTTTCAGAAGGAGGACCTACAGTAGATTGCGAGGAAAAAGGATCAAGGTTTTGGAGATGGTCAGAAAAGAAAGATGCAATCCAGTACGACTGGGAAGACGTTATTACAAAAATTGATGAGCCCTAAGAGAAATCAATATAGAGTTAAACAGCTTGATAATGTTTAAATGCTAAATATTATTCTGTGGTAATTTTTTGTAAATAAAATTTCTTCCTGCCTAATATTTTAATTATTACCCACGTAACTGACAGCATAGGTACTTCCACAAGAGTGGTTTTTCATGCAATTAATTTTGAGCCACTTTCGTTTAGTCCAACATTGACCCAAGCCTTAAACTATGCACGATAGCGTGAGTTTTGACACATGGGCTAAAGTTACTCCTTTTGAAGGCAACTTTGGCCCAGCTAGAAAAACATTTTTTTTTATTATTTTCAAAAGCAAGTTGTACCATAAAACAAAGTTATAGTCATTCTGACGTGAAAAAATTATAAATGTTTTTTTAAATTAAATTTTTCTCTAATTTGTTCAATAGTGAAAAAAATACGTAAAAAGTGGGCCAATGTTACCTCATTTGACAGTAATCAAAAAATTACCTTCATTATCGATAGCGGTCACAGATTTATTTTTCAAGTCAGCACCGTTCATAAAACCCCAACTGGTTCCACCGTGAAACATATAAAAGTTAACAGATGCTCCGAATCCTAAAATTTTGTCCAATACTCTTCCAAAATCAGACGCAGGTGTTGTATGATGTTTTTCTGTCCAGTGGTCGAACCAACCTGTCCAATACTCAGTAACCATCAAAGGTTTGTCTGGTTGATACTTCTTTAGAAGAGTGAGTTCTTTAATAGGATCTGTCTGAAAGTTGGCAGTAGCTAGTACTCCTGGTAAAGTGCCTAAAACGTCACGAACAAGATAAAACAGAATTTTTTGATGTATATAGGGAACTAGTGAATTTATGTAAGAAACTCGCCTGAAAATCCACTAGAAGGCGTGTCTGACGTAAAAAGAAGTTCCACCACTCCCATTCTCAATAACATATTTTTTAATATTTCCAGATAATTTTTATCTACGGGATTTACTCCATCATCAGTATTTCCATATTCATTTTCTATTTGAAATGCAATTATAGGTCCACCTTTTGTAAACTGGAGAGGACTTAGAAGTTCAAAAAGCTTTTTGAAGTATCTTTCAACGAATCCTATGAAAGTACTGTCACTGGTTCTTACCTTGGAAAAAAATATAACAATTTTTATATATAGTGAAAGTTTTTATTTAATTTTTGTTTTATTTACAAATTTAATAATAAAAAGACTAAAGACAGAACAGGTGAATCAGATGATTATCCAAAGAAACCCCTACACATCTTTAAAAAAAATCACAAAAATCTTAGAATTATCTCATTTCTGACAAAAACAGTCAAAAATTAGGACTGTTCTTCTTATAGCAACTAGATTTTGAGGCGTATATTCCAAAAATGGTCTATCTTTCCCTCTAAGAGACTTGTTTCATAAATAGCATTCAAAATAGTATTAAAGAAGTTGTTTGTATTTGTATTATCTATAGATTGACGCGATAAAATAAAAACAAAATTTGCAGCACCAAAAATATTGAAATTTCAACCTTCTCTAAAATCCTTATTTCATGTATAGCATTTAAAATAGTTTTAAAAAAAGTTGTTTGTATTTGTAGTATCTATCGATTGGCGTAATAAAATAAAAAAAAAAACTATTTTTTTCCAGCTTCAAAAATATTTAAATTGTAACCCTCTCTAATATCATTATTTCATGTATGGCACATTAAATAATGATTGCTAAAGTTAATGTTTAAAAACAAAAGTAAAAGTAAAATCAACAAAACCGAATTTTCTGAAGCGTAAAAAAATTAGGCCGTGATACAAGAGAACCAAACTAATATGGAAACAACAGTTAGCGATGACGAAGAAAAAATTGGGAAAAAATATAGAGATAACTCTCAAAGAAAGAATCAGCTATACAGGGGTTGACTAAACAATTGCAGAAAATATAATTAAGAATACAACAAATGGAAACGATGTTAGGTATGCAATAATAACAACAACAACAACAACAACAACAACAACAACAACAACAACAACAACAACAACAACAACAACAACAACAACAACAACAACAACAACAACAACAACAACAACAACAACAACAACAACAACAACAACAACAACAACAACAACAACAACAACAACAACAACAACAACAACAACCAACAACAACCAACAACAACCAACAACAACCAACAACAACCAACAACAACCAACAACAACCAACAACAACCAACAACAACCAACAACAACCAACAACAACCAACAACAACCAACAACAACCAACAACAACCAACAACAACCAACAACAACCAACAACAACCAACAACAACCAACAACAACCAACAACAACCAACAACAACCAACAACAACCAACAACAACCAACAACAACCAACAACAACAACAACAACCAACAACAACCAACAACAACCAACAACAACCAACAACAACCAACAACAACCAACAACAACCAACAACAACCAACAACAACCAACAACAACCAACAACAACCAACACTACCAACAACAACCAACAACAACCAACAACAACCAACAACAACCAACAACAACCAACAACAACCAACAACAACCAACAACAACCAACAACAACCAACAACAACCAACAACAACCAACAACAACCAACAACAACCAACAACAACCAACAACAACCAACAACAACCAACAACAACCAACAACAACCAACAACAACCAACAACAACCAACAACAACCAACAACAACCAACAACAACCAACAACAACCAACAACAACCAACAACAACCAACAACAACCAACAACAACCAACAACAACCAACAACAACCAACAACAACCAACAACAACCAACAACAACCAACAACAACCAACAACAACCAACAACAACCAACAACAACCAACAACAACCAACAACAACCAACAACAACCAACAACAACCAACAACAACCAACAACAACCAACAACAACCAACAACAACCAACAACAACCAACAACAACCAACAACAACCAACAACAACCAACAACAACCAACAACAACCAACAACAACCAACAACAACCAACAACAACAACAACAACAACAACAACAACAACAACAACAACAACAACAACAACAACAACAACAACAACAACAACAACAACAACAACAACAACAACAACAACAACAACAACAACAACAACCAACAACAACAACCAACAACAACCAACAACAACCAACAACAACCAACAACAACCAACAACAACCAACAACAACCAACAACAACCAACAACAACCAACAACAACCAACAACAACCAACAACAACCAACAACAACCAACAACAACCAACAACAACCAACAACAACCAACAACAACCAACAACAACCAACAACAACCAACAACAACCAACAACAACCAACAACAACCAACAACAACCAACAACAACCAACAACAACCAACAACAACCAACAACAACCAACAACAACCAACAACAACCAACAACAACCAACAACAACCAACAACAACCAACAACAACCAACAACAACCAACAACAACCAACAACAACCAACAACAACCAACAACAACCAACAACAACCAACAACAACCAACAACAACCAACAACAACCAACAACAACCAACAACAACCAACAACAACCAACAACAACCAACAACAACCAACAACAACCAACAACAACCAACAACAACCAACAACAACCAACAACAACCAACAACAACCAACAACAACCAACAACAACCAACAACAACCAACAACAACCAACAACAACCAACAACAACCAACAACAACCAACAACAACCAACAACAACCAACAACAACCAACAACAACCAACAACAACCAACAACAATCAACAACAATCAACAACAACAACAACAACCAACAACAACCAACAACAACCAACAACAACCAACAACAACCAACAACAACCAACAACAACCAACAACAACCAACAACAACCAACAACAACCAACAACAACCAACAGCAACCAACAACAACCAACAACAACCAACAACAACCAACAACAACCAACAACAACCAACAACAACCAACAATAACCAACAACAACCAACAACAACCAACAAAAACCAACAACAACCAACAACAACCAACAACAACCAACAACAACCAACAACAACCAACAACAACCAACAACAACCAACAACAACCAACAACAACCAACAACAACCAACAACAACCAACAACAACCAACAACAAACAACAACAACCAACAACAACCAACAACAACCAACAACAACCAACAACAACCAACAACAACAACCAACAACAACCAACAACAACCAACAACAACCAACAACAACCAACAACAACCAACAACAACCAACAACAACCAACAACAACAACCAACAACAACCAACAACAACCAACAACAACCAACAACAACCAACAACAACCAACAACAACCAACAACAACCAACAACAACCAACAACAACAACCAACAACAACCAACAACAACCAACAACAACCAACAACAACCAACAACAACCAACAACAACAACAACAACCAACAACAACCAACAACAACCAACAACAACCAACAACAACCAACAACAACCAACAACAACCAACAACAACCAACAACAACCAACAACAACCAACAACAACCAACAACAACCAACAACAACCAACAACAACCAACAACAACCAACAACAACCAACAACAACCAACAACAACCAACAACAACCAACAACAACCAACAACAACCAACAACAACCAACAATAACCAACAACAACCAACAACAACCAACAACAACCAACAACAACCAACAACAACCAACAACAACCAACAACAACCAACAACAACCAACAACAACCAACAACAACCAACAACAACCAACAACAACCAACAACAACCAACAACAACCAACAACAACCAACAACAACCAACAACAACCAACAACAATCAACAACAATCAACAACAACCAACAACAACCAACAACAACCAACAACAACCAACAACAACCAACAACAACCAACAACAACCAACAACAACCAACAACAACCAACAACAACCAACAACAACCAACAACAACCAACAACAACCAACAACAACCAACAGCAACCAACAACAACCAACAACAACTAACAACAACCAACAACAACCAACAACAACCAACAACAACCAACAACAACCAACAACAACCAACAACAACCAACAAAAACCAACAACAACCAACAACAACCAACAACAACCAACAACAACCAACAACAACCAACAACAACCAACAACAACCAACAACAACCAACAACAACCAACAACAACCAACAACAACCAACAACAACCAACAACAACCAACAACAACCAACAACAACCAACAACAACCAACAACAACCAACAACAACCAACAACAACCAACAACAAACAACAACAACCAACAACAACCAACAACAACCAACAACAACCAACAACAACAACCAACAACAACCAACAACAACCAACAACAACCAACAACAACCAACAACAACCAACAACAACCAACAACAACCAACAACAACCAACAACAACCAACAACAACCAACAACAACCAACAACAACCAACAACAACCAACAACAACCAACAACAACCAACAACAACCAACAACAACCAACAACAACCAACAACAACCAACAACAACCAACAACAACCAACAACAACCAACAACAACCAACAACAACCAACAACAACCAACAACAACCAACAACAACCAACAACAACCAACAACAACCAACAACAACCAACAACAACCAACAACAACCAACAACAACCAACAACAACCAACAACAACCAACAACAACAACAACCAACAACAACCAACAACAACAATAACACATCGAAACAGACTAAAAAGAAGAAAAGAAGAAATAGTCATTAAAGAAACAGCTTGGATAGTACAAAGAAGCAAAAGAATTAGCAAAAAACGAAAAATGCGAGAATCTCCTAAAATGCCACTTTAAACCACAACCAAAGAACAATACAACGTTCAAAAAGAAGCAAAGTATTGCACAAGAAGAAAAACCGAAACAGAAATTACCACCGTCAATAGTAGTAACTCAGGTCGAAAACGTTGAAGAGTTAAGACAAAAACTAATGAGTAAGCAACACAATTGTGTAGCTATCATATTAAATTAAAAGTAAAAGATGAACAAGAATATAGAACAATGACAACAGA